ATATTCATCTTCCTCCAATGGCACAAGTTCGTTTTCGCGCAAAGCGTGTCACGATTATTAAAAATATAACATTTCAGAAAGAGTGGTTGAATCATAGATGCATCTATTTCTTGCCAAGCCTCACATATCCATTCGGTAACATCATGAGAGTCAATTGACATATATGGCCAGCAGCAACATTTTTGTGATAACTGTCGCTTAACCACATATTCCGCATCTGACGGATAACATCCATCATCAGATTATTATTATTATTATTATTATTATTATTATTACTAAGCCTTATTTTTGGTCCTGAACCATGAATAATCAAGTTCGCCGCAGCACGAAAAAATAACAGGTTCATAATTTAGTTTAATTTATTTCATAATTCCATGCGACCTTAAACTCATGCCTTTTTCGAGTCTTCAGCCACAGAATCGCAATAAGTATTTTTCAGAGAAACTCGTTCACTCAACCGATTGGCTTAGAATCAGATCAGTTGCAAGATTTATCTAAAGTTGAATTAAAAACTGCCATTATCATTAAATCAGTAAATTAAATCTTGACCACTTATGTAACAAAAGAGATATTTTAAGAGCAATGATCTTTATATGGTTTCATTCTGTATATGAAGTTGAATCCAGGTACTGGCTTTGCAAAAATGACGTTGTTTATGAAAATAGCTGTGATAAAATTTATATTGAAGAAACATGTAGATTCTTCAGTGTGAGGATCGAGGAACAAATCCATGCGATTATAGGGGATCTTCCAGACAATTCAGGCTTTGATATACATTCCTAAGAATGCGCACATTTCGTAAGTAAATATCACGATTTTTGACTGCAAACGAGTAAACTAATGCAGCTCCTCACTAAGTCATTCTTGTACAATTCACGAGTGTGGCAATGGCAGAGGTTCTGTTACCTGTTCAGCCTAAAAGTCTCTCCTGTAATCCCAACCTTTTTTTTAATTCAATTCGATTTTACACTGACACTTTCACCCGTTACTATACAACATGCTGTTCAAAATTATATGTACCTACAAATCGCATATTACCGTAACTGCTTTGTTGAAAATTATGGTCTCCTTACCCGGGAGGTGAAATGACGAACTAACCTTGAAGTACTCATGATTAAAGTTGAAACACTCATCAAGGGGCTATCTTCTGTCAAAAAAAGTGGATATGACTTTCGTTTCAATTTCTTCAGCACCATTTCGAATAATGCGCCAAATCTTTGCGGAGAAGATGAAGGTGAATTTCGAAAATGATGATGAAGGTAACTTGTTTCAATCCATGGAACCGGCAGACAATCAGAAAATAATTAAATAGTAAATTAAGTAGTTTCGTTTTGCCTTCGACATCAACCTGACAAACACAGATGGTCACGTTGTCAGTATTTGTAACTGCTAGCTAACTCACCAACGTGGTCAACTACCTTTCTGAATGCGTCTGACTCTGCCCTCCTCAGTTTAGTTTTCAGCTGAGTGTTCTCGTCCAAATAGCATCGAACTTCCTAAAAAAAAAGTAGAAGCCAAATCCACAACATGAATCAAGAAATACTTAAAGAGTACCTTTTTAAGTCGAAGTACTTCCTCTGAAAGATCTTCGGCCCTTTTCCTTGACTCTGAACCTTGAAATTTGAAATTCGTCTTATGATCAATTGATAAACACAGGCGGCGTTATTTCTTTTCCTCTAACGTACCTAAGAACGCACTTCTGGCCTTTCTTTGCTTGGTGGAGTAAGTTCCCTCTTGATGATAGGGACATCGCTGCAATGGCTTCGATGGCCGGAAACTCATTTTCGAATTTCTGAGAGGTCAGAGGTTTCCACATGCCACCTTCCCCATATAGAAGAGAGAACAAATACGTCGTCATTGTTGCTTGGTAACGGTGAGTAAGCGAAAATACGAATCGATAGTCGAGATGAAGCTTGAAGAGAAATGTTTATGGATTTATAGAAGTAACTCAAAGTGATGTGATATATGCAGAAAGATAATCGGCTTAGGAACGAATAATCTTTAGATACAATTACGGAAATATAGATATTATGATATACCACAAAGAAAATATTAGTTATACGTTGTTTCCATTAACAGACCACTGACAGATGAATCATCTAGAATTATATACCTCTTTTTAAAGCCGTCACTTCAAATGTAGCACAGATTGATAGAAGTTCCCATTATGGCGTGACAGATGATCTTAAAGGCTACTCAATCATGATTCTGTTTAAAGGGACAGTTTCCTCAGTAACAGATAAAGTCTAAACGGAATATGAAACTGAGCGTTCAATTCCAAAGAAGTGATCCTGTTGGATCCACAAGCATGATTCTAGAATTCGGTGTAGCATGAGTAAGTATTACATTGACGACAACACACAACAATTCAATGACCCTGCCTCCATACCATGGAGGATGACAACACTTGTTTAGCATCGATGCAGACGTTCGTCCGTCTCATGTGATTAGTCACATCAAGCTTCAATACCTTTCTTTTAACTCGTCGTCCCATTTGAAATGAGGTATTCCAGTACGACGCTGTGGTACCAATCCGCATTAGTCGTGAGGTGTAGTCCGCCGAGTTGCATGCGGAGGATACGGAGACACTTTTGTCTTGGCTTTCTGGTTTTGGTTACTGTAGCAGTTACATGACAGATCCATCGTGATTAAGCTGAAGAATTTACCTATGTTGTTGCACAGATGCTTCCGATATAACTTGACTGGTATCAGTTTATCCGTTGCCACTTTTTGTATGAATATAATATAGAGTGTATGCAATATAATGCATTATTCTGTGGCAGATACATATTTCCGTATGACTGTAGTAGCAGACATGGTAGTAGCTTCAGTCAGTGTAGGATGCCACCCATCGCATGTGGTCTCAGTCTGTCTAAATCATACCTTCTGGCAAAAAGTGAATCTTTATTTAAATCAAATACTGATGACAAGCTCTGTTTGCATCGCTCCCAAATCTACAAACAAAGATCATGCACTAGTCGCTTAGAAAGGCCTCAATAACCTTCGCAGTACAGCTGAAACTGAAGGGCAGAAGATCTCACTTTGACCATCTTTATTCAAGGAAATGAAGCTCGTTGTTGGGGTGGCAGCAGCAACCAACGAATTTAGAGCATCCCAACTAACCGGCAAAACGAAGTTTTACTTTCTACGTCAAATGAAGAACTCATATATCGCCTCAGACATAGTCGCTTCACTTCATTTTTCAAAGTCATCTAGTATTGCTTGCTCCAATGTCAGCACAAGGCTTTGCCCTGAGAAATCAATCCGTCTAATGAAGCTCATCCAAATAATCGCAGGAAAGAACAAACTAAAAACTAGTAAGAGGCAGTGCGATAATTTCATTGTGAAGTTTGCCAACCGTTGGAGTAGTGACTTTTATTTTGCAGTACTTTTATAGAAAAAGGTCCCAGAGATTTGTCCGTT